CATGAAATCGATTCTGAAACCGTCAATAACATTGAATGGTCATGGGAAGCCAATTCTATCCATATCCTACTTTCCGGACGGCCAGCGAATGATCAGCAGAGCATTTGACAGGACCGCTCGACAATGGGATCTGAAGGCGGGCAAAGAGATTGAGGAAGTGCGGGGTGTTTTCAAGGAGCATGTTTTAGCGATGGCGGTATCAAGGGATGGTCGATGGGTTGTCACTAGCAGTGGTGGATATCGTGACCCTCGTCCGGAGCTGAAAGCCGGGGATTGTGAACTTCTTTCGAGGACACTCACGGAGGATTAGATGTGTTGATATCTCCATGGACAGCAAGCTGCTAGCGAGTGGATCAGACGATAAAACAATGCGGATATGGAACTTGGAGACTGGCAAACTCGTGGCTGGTCCATTCAAGAGCGTCGATTGGCCGGGCACAGTTCGATTCTCCACAGATTCAAAGAAGCTCGCAGTTATGCTAACCACAGGGATTGGCCTTGAGGTCTGGGATATCCAATCACAGAAATTGGATGTGAGGCTAGGAAAATTTGATTATGGAGCACAACTCACAAGTATTCTGGACAAACAACAACAAAAGCTTCTTAACCGTATTCAACTTCACTAAAGACGATAATGCTAGGACAATCTACGAGTTTGACGCGTCAACACTGGAGACTGTTGGAACTCCCTTTGAAGGGCACACTGACGATGTCAACAGTCTAGCACTTTCGTTTGACCATGCTCTCTTGGCCAGTGCTTCCTTCGACGATACCATCAAGCTCTGGGCTTTTGAGTCCCGCCAGCTCCTCGCTTCCTTCGACGCTGATGTCTATGCCCTTGTTCTCTCACCTGACGCACGACAACTAGCTTACGCGATGAATATTGAAGGTGATTACAAGATCTGCATCTGCAATACTCCACCCGATGTCCTTGCTCAGGCCCGTGTACGCATTCTCCCCAAACCTGTATTGTTCGTATGCTCACGTTCTCTTAAAGATTATTGGGCGCAAAAAGTCAGCCCCCAGGGATCCACTAACTGTGCGTATCTCATTCTTTTACTCATCATGTCACTCATCCATTGCAGTCTGATGCAACTCGTCGTCCTCCTGCCAAACGCCGCATGCAACCAATATCCGCCGTACCTGTTGCGCCGAGACCTCCACTTACAAGAGACCCGCAGCAAACCGCTTTATACGCCTCAGGAAACTCCTTCGCTTCTCTCCTCGCTCGCACGCAGTCGCTGTTCATGTGTCCAACCTCGTGACCCCTTGGATGTATGTCGTGACTGCTATATCGGTTCCCTGATAACTGAATCCATGATGGCACAAATAGGTCCCTGCTACATTGCCACTACCGTACCCGCTCTCAGATCAGGTCACATCTCGATTTGGTCATGTCGGTCTTCAATTTCTCTAAGTGTACTTGTAATGGATGACTGAGTACGTGTCCAGTTCGAAACAAGTACTCCGCTTTCCTCCTCGAACGGAGTCGCGCAGTTTGTATGGCAGAATCTTCCATTCGTCACGCCAAGACACAGTCTCGGCCTCCAGTCGTTGAGGTCGCACCGGGACGGAAAGTCATTGTAATGTAATTTCTTACTTCTCGGTATCTTTTTACTGATCTATGCCCCTACAGAGACTCGCTGCTGCTGCTAAATACCAGAATACAAGAAAGTAGACGATACCCGACGTCCGTCTACTCAACAAGCTACCGTCCCAGGAAAACGACAAAGCTGACATTGATTCGCTCCCAGACGTGCATTGGTGTAAAGCATTCCTGTGCTATTATTCGTGCTGGTCTCATGGCAGACTGAGGATGCCTCCTTGGTGGCACTTGGAGCGGGCTGACATACCCCGCCAGGACGACATGGGAAATGGCAGCTGTGGTAGTGCTCATGGTTGCATTTAACTTGTATGTACCCATCCATTGCTGTATCCTTCATAGCTTCACACTTGCAAATCAATTCTATACCATGCGCGATACGCTGTGCATCTTCCAATCCCACCACGACTTGAGCTTAGATGAGTCAGATTATCATTGCGCTCATGTTCGCTGAGCGGGATGTTGATCTGGTCCAGATCGAAATGACATCATCAGGTGATCCGTCAGCATTCGGATGTCTCACAATTACTTTCTCACACATATATAAGGCCGTCGTCTGAATCAACATTTCCTGCGTTCTACTTCCACTTGCTTCCCTCGTTTAGATCTCCAACGTCTGTGGCGTTCGATTGAAACACAGTACGATCTCACAAGTCTCGAGCATGCGACTTAGACTACACTGGATTCGAGCGAGGAGACCGTGGATACCCGATCCCGCCTAACCGATAATCTCTTATCGATCTCCGCTTTTTCAGACCCTCTTTTCAAAGACGACCTTGTGTTTTTTTTGGAATTCACCCTGACTCTTGCCGTATCTTCGAGTTCCGATTATAGTCTGCTCCCTCAAATATATTGGACACTCCCTTGGTCAACCCGATCGTTGGCTGTCAACGAGGTTACATTTGTCGACGGATATTAATGCGATAGCTTCGATTGTCCGCCCCACTGCTTGTGCTCGAGTCCACTGGATCAGCCACATCAATTCGCACGATTCAACGACTGATCGATTCGTTCGACCATGAGGAGCATCTCTATCCTGGCTGTTCTTTATCCTTCCGTCGGTTCGGCACAACTCCTATCTTCCATTCTGCGTCGATCCCCAAATCGATCTCTGTTTCCGGCGTCTTTGTCTTGACGATCTTGTTTGCTCTTCGTTTTTGTGCGGCTCCTTCAAGTTCTACTCGATTCCCCTTCTTGGACTACACGGTTGCCTGGATTCGAGCGAAGAGACCGTCTCAGGTGGGCCTTCACGATAACTGGCTTCAGAATCCTCTTTTCTTCGATAGCACCTCTTGGACTCGACGGGATGCCCAACCAATAACCTCTTCCAATTCATATCGATCTCTGCTATCACCCGCCTTTCGGGGACAACCTTGTGTTTCCTTTCTCGAATTCACACTGACAGGCTCCTGCAGTACCTTTGAGTTCCGATTGTCCTCTGCTCTCTCAAATCCCTTTGGATACTCCCTTGACCAACCCAATCGTTTACCGCCATCGAGCTTACATCTGTCGACGGACATCGCGCTAGTTTCGATCCTCCACCAAAATTCTCATGTTCGAGTCTACTGGATCAGCCTTATCAGTTCGCATGGTTCAACGACTGTGATCGATTGGTCCCATGGATCTACCTATCCTCTGAATTTCACATTTCGAGTCGATCAGACCGACCGTTGCGTTCTATTCCACCCATTTTCCTCCGATGGCAACTACGTCACTCAATCACGATTGTCACGTGTGGCAATGTACCATTTGCTCACTTTTTCATCTTTTCCCTTGCTCATCCGGACCTCGGACTTCAAAACTTTCTCTGTTTTAATCAATGTCATGGTTTGAATACGCGAACCTGGTACGATCGAGTTTGCAACTCGGATCCAATAGAAACTCGCTTTCACAAGGTCAGGCTTTGTTCGATTAGGAGAAGCATCATTCTCATTGGTTCGGCACAGCTCTTGAATTCTTCTGACAGATCTCATTGGCTTGTCTAAATTACTCTACTGCGTCAACTTCATGATTTGCTGATAGTTAGACAGCATTAAAGTTCGACGTTCGAACGCTGGGCTACTTTCATGCAATAACTGCCTGCACAACATTTCCTTTCAGGATCTATCTTGGCTATCGCCGTACTTTGCATCGGCTTTGAATTTGGTCCGTCGGGCACTCCCTGTTTGTAATAATCAGCTCTAACATTACAGGCTAGTCGAAAGAATCGTTCGAATTTCTACCACTTCCTCGAATGACCCTTTGACTTTTGATTTTTGCGCTAGATTACAGAGGTCCCTGATGCGAGGGGTCGAGGTCGCGTCAACTACATCAAGGTCGTCACAAACATACATGAACAAGCCTCGACTGAGGCGTGGAAGTATACAATGAGATGGCACGGCCGTAGCATGGTGATATGCGGTCAGGATTTTGTTTTGATACATTAGTTTGTATGAGATGGGTCTCTGGTGTGCAGGGCTGTGTCGCCACTGGGATTCGCTTAATATTTACAAGCATATATTACAGAATGGTCAGTGGTAAAGGTAAAACCGTTAATTTCTCATCGAGCATGCACGAGATTCTGAACATGAGAAGGCGTCATTGAGACATTCAGAAGCTCTTAGGCTGACAGCCTGGCTGATACTTGCATCGTCGATTGCAAGTCCCCGGAAATTCCGTCTCAACATGCTTGAGTCAGTTCGAGTGCCAATTCCGATTGAAGGTAGCCGTTCCTCCCTTATTGTCATAGTTTCTGGATTTCCGTGGCCTCCAGTGTTCGCAGCTGGAAGTCCGAGTCAATGCTGCAGCGCATACTGCTTAATGCTTGTGGTCAAAGTTCTACCGTTTCTCATACAAACAGATCTGTTCGCCCCAACGTCTCCGATATAACCCCCACCACCTTGGCTTCAAATTCAAACACATCCCCACCACGGTATGCCACAAGGTCCTGAGGCATCTCCCTCTGCACTCCGAGCGCCTTTTCGAGGTTTGTCGTGGCAAGTGCAAGAGCTGTTGTGCGATCGATCAAACCATTGGACGCGAGGAACTATAATTACATTTAAGAAAAACGACAGGAAAAGCAGTGTTCGACCAAACGCACCCAACCGGCTTCGAAACGTGTATTTCGGGCATTGTACTCGTCGATGACTCCAATGGCTACATTGACGCCGGCCTTCAAAAGCTTGCTGACCAGGCTCTCTTGCGTTATTGGTGGCCCAGCAAGTCTATGCGATAGCAAGGTTAGCATCGTTAAGCGCAAACGAGAAAAGATTGGATCAAGAAGAAAGAGCATGAAGGATACTCACATCCTTCGCTGCTCCCAATTCGACGGGAATGGCTTGCTCTGCGTGACGATCACGCTCACACCTGCCCTCTTAATCTCAGACGCAAGGAGATGAGCCTCAGTTGCTCCCGCAAAGGTCATACGAAGTTCCCTCCCAGAATGAGTCTCGTACTCATCCTTAAGCCGAAGCAGCGTCGCCATTATATCTGCGCTCTCAACGTCCACAACGAGCGTGGTTTTACCCTTGATTCTAGATATCAGTGTTGACTCAATGCATGAGACGCACAATAAGCCAACCTTTCTAACGCTCCTGAGCACCTCATCTCCACCCTCTCCAAACAACATGTTCCTAAGTGCTGCTATCTGCGTGCTCACACTTATCCTTGAAGACATGCTTATGCCCACATGTAATGCGACTTCATCAATTACACTCGCATTTTCCACGCTGGCATGCGCAGCTCCAGGTGAGAAAGCAGTAGATACGCCCTGCAGGAAGGCCCCAGAGGGCGCAGTGATGGCCGTTGTAACGCCGCCGCGATAGGCTAGTCTGCAATTCGAAATGTCGATTCAGACACTGGATGAAAGGAATAAAGGATACATACAGCAAATTCTGACCACCAAACATGAGACCGTCTTGTGCTCTCATGATCGTGTCACCCAATATAGCAGGAAGGTCACCATCGAGAGGGTTATGAACACTTCCATCATTTGTGCTCGGCTCAAGCCTTATCTCCACGAGCCCCAGTGGCGAACCGAAGCTGGTCAATCCAGGTGTGATCGTGCCGCCTTCAAGGTCCACGATATCGACAACCTCTTCTGCAAAATCCGAGCATTGACCAATACACACCACTTGACCATCCTCCACACCCACCGATCCTGCCTGCTCAGAAACACGCACCACCCCACTCGAGCCACCACCTCTCATATAAAGCCCTGAGACGTTCACGAATAACGCCCCTTTCACGCTCCGAGGCTCAAGAGGGGGAATACCCTCGTGCGCGACCGCTGCCACCTTCTCAGAGTCGAAATTGGGTGTGCATGGGGGAGTGGTGGGCCCCTTGGCGACATGGCCTCCAGGAAGGGAGAGCTGGGGGATACCATCAATATAGACCTGAGTGGGCGTTGAAGCAAGTGAAAGTGGGTGGGAGGACCAAATCACAACATCTAGTTTCGATTAAACGATCAGACTCGCTTCTTATATATTTAGTGACTGCGAGCATAACATACCTGCATCATACCCTGCAATTCAACCGAGACTTAATTTTTTCATTGAAATTATATGATAGTCTCACATACCTGGTTTCAGCATCCCAATCCGATGGCCCATCCCCATGGCAGTAGCAGGAGTATACGTAACAGAGAGGAGCGTGAGTGCAGGGTCAAGGCCATAATAGTGCGCTTGGGCGGCTTCGTGCAGGAGGTAGCGGGAGTTGACAACGGGGTGGTCAGACTGTAAGCAAGAGTTAGTTGACGCAGCATAATAAAGAGTATGTAGGGTGACATTTACCTTCATAACAACGTTGATTCCATGTTCCGCCAGCACCCGTGGTGCGAACTCCGATCCTCGATATGCCTCGCGTTTCTTCCTTTATGCAAGACAAGAGTATCAGGACAGTCACAGAAAGTCGATACATATATACATACCGAAAGTTGGATGCAAAAAGTGCGATGGCAGGTGTGCCCCCCTTGTAGATAAGAAGACCAGGAAGTCACAAACAATCAACGAGGAAAGAGAAGAGAAAAGACTTACCCACATTTTCTTCAACAACTCCGGAACGAGGTATGTTTCACCAGCATGGTGAAATGATGCTACGGGGAATTCGAACTCATTTGTAAGCTGTCCAAGGCCATCCGTTAATCAACCCAACACAGGTAAAAATTAGAAGAGCCAAAAAAAAATAACAACAAAATAAAACGCACGCGGACGATTCCGTCGAGATCAACTGCCTCGTAGCAGTGCACTGAAAGCTTTACACGTCCACGGAGCACATCGACAAGGGATTCCCATTGCAGATCTTCAGGAAATGCATTCCCTGCGAGGTCATCCCAAGAATCAGACTCTGCCTTGGCGCAGAAAGCATCTTGAGCGTCGCGCAGCTTTCGGGCACTATCGTAGGCGGCGCGGAAGTTCCACCCAGAGTCAAGGCGTGTCATGCCATAGACACGAGAGGGGTTTTCACCTTATGAGTGAATGAGCGATGATAATAACGAGGCCTCTTCTGGAACATACCACATGCATGTCTGTCAGGTATTGTTGAAAGTTAGGAATAATTAAAGATAAATAAAAGAAAATGGAGGTGTGAGATAACAGACTTCATGTGCCGCCAGCGTGGCGTGAGAGAGTGGTCAAAGTGAGAGCCATTGAGGGTGTAGGGAGGCTCGAGGAGCATGGAAGAAGGCGAACGTTCAGCTGTAGGACGAAGCTTGATTATGAATGCCTGGCCACCTAGTATACAAGGTTTATGATCAGCAAATAGGCAAAGTGTGTATCAAGATAGCTTTAACCGATATTATTTGCGCTCCCAGGGAGAATTTGTGCGGTTGTAACACCTCCAGCTATGGCGAGTTCGTATGATGCGTCATGGGTGTTCAATCCATCAATACTGCGCAACCAGGGCAAGATGGGGGCCTTGCGAGAGTTCGTGTCGCGTGCACCTGCAGGAAATGGGACGCTATGGCTATTGTAGAGTAGCAAATAAACGAACCATTTAGCTCAGGCACACTACCGACACCGATATGGGAGTGTAAATCCACAATGCCGGGGGTCACCCACGCTCCGTGAGCATCAACAACCTCCAATTTCCTGTTCTTTGACTCGACCTGCCGAATCATGGAAAGAGTAACGTCCCCGATAGCTTTGATGAGACCGCGGTGTAAAAGGAGGTCACCAGAGATAACCTCGTGCCCATCATTAGCAGCTGTCCAGATAGTCGCATTACGCACAAGAACGGGAGTCGTGTTCTCTGAATCTGCGTAGCGGTCACTCTGGGTGCGAGTATGGAAATTGGGTGGAGGCCCGGGTTTGGCACGTATGTAGGCGCATTTAGAGAGGATTTGGGACCGACGGGCGAGCTCCTGTGGGCTGGATTGAGATGACACCGAAGAGATGAAGGTCGAGGAATGCAGAAGAATGATGTAGATGAGTGCGATGGTAAATAGGGCTGGGTGAATCCAGCGCCGAAAAGGAGGACGGGTCGCCAACGGTGAGCTACCCATTGTGTTAGGTGGTGCCAAGGCAAACTGAACTTGAGTCTTGAGCTCCTTGTTCAAATGGTAGTCAGTCAGCAGACTCAGCACTAGATCAAGTACTTAGGTTCGTGGGGAACATGTCGGCAGTACTTCGGTTATAAACCTATTAGTAGCTTCGAACGAACCGAACTTCCGTAGGGCGGCCGCAAATGCTGTCTTTGCACTAAGCCTGTGTAAGACCATCTCAACTTGAGTCAAAAGCTTGGCTATGCGCCGTGAATAGGTGAGGTGTTCGCTAGGATAAACCTCCCGTGTAGGAAATGGAGGAGGGCGTTTGATGTTGGGTAGGCTTATGAGCGAAATACCCAAGACTATCGTGAAGAAAAACGTTCAGATTGATCTGAATAAGGACTGAATATTTGCGATCTAATATATAGAAACACCTAATGGAAATGAAGCACTAGTACCGGCGTGACGTATGGCAGCTATCGATTGTATACCAAACAACAACAAACACATTGACGACTTGCTCAACCAACTCACCGTGCAGTAGCTCGAATTCATAGTAGATCCAAATATTGTGCTATGTCACTGGGGTGTTTTCGGGCCATAATGACTCTAGCTCAATTCATTGATGGACCTGAAACACACCAATGCACATTTGTCGACTGTTCTCGTTGATATGCTGCTGCTACTCTGTCACATGTGAGTTATCTCGTTTAGTCAATCAGGTTTGAGCTTTTGCGATCTTCTGCTTAATGTGCGTGCCATCAGGGTGTTCTTACTTGGCATTCCTTGAGCGCGCACTACATGTGACCGTGGTCCTGCAGCACATAAACTCTATTAGCACGCTGCGTGCTGATGTGTCGCTTCAGCAAGCTGAATAGCTTTCTTACGATCCTGTGTGGCCTGCCGATGCTGATCAGCTGTTCATAAGGGTGTAGTGTGTATCGCATCGCATTCTAACTTCACTCTGATAAAATTCATCTAGGTAGTTGCCCATGTGTCAAGCTGCCGTTCTGCTGTCGTTGAATCGAAGGGCGTGCGTTATGCAGATGCAGGAAACCCAATTAAATTTGCCAGCGACAACGATGTACATGTCATATCCATTCCGATGTCAAACAATTCATGTCCGGCGGTTAATGCAGCTTCGCCGTTTTGTATCCACTACTTGCTTTTTCAATTCGAGTAGTTGCACACACTTGACGTTCTGGTGCTGGTGATCTCCTTCATTCCGATCCTCGTGGTTCCAGTAGGATGGAAGTCCGAGATATGGGACCCAACCATTTTGATGGTTCCTAGTATCCAGGCCCCACTGACAGTTTCCTGCAGAGCCTGATTGAGCTGACTTCTTGAACAGGCGCACAGTGTTCGAAGATGGGCAGTCGCTCCATGTCAACATCCGTGTGGATCAAATCTATGCTTCCGCCGGTCTGCTTCAAAAGGGTCGTCTATACGGCTTCGAGTATTAATTCCTCCTGCGCGTCCATGGTGTAATCTCTGGGGTAGTCTGGATACACCTCCAAAATGCTGCGTTTGTTGTATGCCAGCATGATGCTGAGTGCGTGAGCAAATCCTGCGCAGCCTAACCACTTTAAAGACTTTTGCCGTACCTTTCAGTTCCGACTATCCTCTGCTCTCTGAAATATCGCTTTGGACACTCCGTTGGCCAACCCGATCGTTGGCCATCAACGAGTTTACATTTGGCGACGGACATTAATGCGCTAGCTTCGATTGTCCACCGAAATGCTTATGCTGAATCAGCCCCATCAGCTCGCATGGTTCGACGACTGATTGATTCGTTCGACCAAGAGGAGCATCTACATTCTGGCTGTTCTTTATCCCTCGTTGGCTCGGTACAGGTCCTGTCTAAGGTTGAACCACTTTGTAATTGAACTGCAAGCTTAAGGGAGGTTCACTGCCCTTTTCTGGAGTTGGTTGTCATACACCTCTGACTCCCTCAGACCAATGCATCTCGGTTCCTTTGTAAAGTGGCCCTCCCACAGTGTGTTCGAGAGCCACGTGCGTCAAGAAAATCGATAGCAAGGGAAATTCTTCAACCACATCGTATTTGCTCCATTATGTGGTGTCGGCGAAGGAACTTCGATTCTCTTAGAGTGAAGAGGCTCGGACCTAGGAACGAAGGAGGAACTATGTAGTTATTAGAGACTGTATTGTAGACTCGTAAATAAAACAACTCACCTCAGTCTTCGATTGAAGGACTGAGGGGAGACGCTTCCAAGGGAAGAGGAATGAAAAGACGTCGTTGAGACGGAGAACGAAAAAGCAACGTGTAGGGTGAGTGATATTGTATGTAAAATGAAACGCGTACGGAGAACGTGTTGTGATAGATTCTTCCACTGCCAATGGACGAACTGGTCGTATTGTATCTTAGTGCGGGCCGTGAACCGTTTTTTGGGGTCACCAGACTTCTTTAGAGATTTCTTCAAGAGTTTGCGGTGAAAGAGTTTTGAGCATGGGTCTTTGCGTCAGCAGCTACTAATTCTCCTATCTAATAAACAATTATCGGAGCGATAAACACGGTAGAGAAACATTCACCACAAACACAATATCTAGCGCCTCGCGTATTCTGATGCATTCGAATTTTACCAGTCGTTAGCGCACATACAGACAAGGCAGAGATATGTGGAGCACGGTGCTTGATAAATGTATAATGATCGCATAGAACTTCAAAGCACTTCATTCATTCCAAAAAAATGTGTTTATGACAAGCTATAGGTTTCTAGAGTAATGCAAACAGGAAGAGCTAAAGTATAACGCGGACGAATAGCGAGGACAACATGAGGCAACAGTAAAGCGAGATGGGCATGGTATCCAGAATGATACAAGGGGATTATACGATGGAATAGCGTTCGACGATGAATAGCGAATAGCATGTGCGTGTGGAGACAGATACAATATCATCAAAAAAGGATTCGCCCCTTATATCAAGTGAGGTTCATTCACGAGGCTTGTACGGATATTCGTCGGCAAGAAAGTGAAGTAACAAGGCGTTCACCTCGGATGCGTGGGTTACAGTGAGATCGTGGCCACCATCGTTGATGGTGACGAGGTCAGCTTGCGGTACGAGATTGTGTATCTTAGAAGCGTATTTATAAGGGACAGTTTTGTCCGATGTGCCCTTCATTGAAAAAGTCAGCATCACAGTGGCGGATTGATGAGCGATCTCTTACATGGATAAGCAACACTTGGTTGCCAGAGTGTGCGAGTGATTGGAATGCAAAGTGCAGGCCGCGAATAGGACCGTCGCGAAGCGAAGATGCCACAGCAGCATTATAGTGAGGTAGATGGGCGGTTTGAAGACGGACAATCTTAAATCAAAGTATTTAGTGGGTGCGAATTATGTGGTCAAAAAAAAACAGACTTCTTGTATCGGATTGATTTCATAAAGTTCCGAGGATTTAGAGGTATTCGCAAGGAGACGCATGTAATGCTACGTCAAAGTCAGGTGGGAGAAAAGGGAGCAGTCCCTCGAGCTTACTTGGAAAGGTGGGAGGGCGGACACAGTTTGCACGAGGGGAGTCGACATGAATTTTGCGGTACGAGAGATATCGCTCGACTATGCGAGATAAGTTAGATTAAGAATGTGCTGTGTTGCTTGCCAATTACCTCTATGATACCTGCTGAAGCAATAAGAGCGACTTTTCCATTTACCAGATGAGGGAAGTGGGCCGAGAATGCAGTCGCAATGCCACCTCCCTGTTTGCAATAGGAGAGAGATTCAGCGGTAGACAAACACAAGGAAGACAAATGTACCATCGACAATCCGATGATAAATGCATTATCCCATTTAACATGTTGCATAAGAAGCGCGAGTTGGGTGGTGTGAAGGATGGTATCGTAAGTTACTTGGGGGGCATCTGAATAACCACGACCATATAGATCTACAATATCAATGGATTTGGAACGTAATACAAATATACATTAAAAGATAATAACACACCATAGAGAAGTACACGGTATCCTCGTGAGGCGAGTACAGGTGCCACGTCTTTCCAGACGATCGCCGGGATGGAAAGTCCGTGTATCAAAACAACCTAACAGTCTCGATAAGCACATAATACTTGCGCACACAAAAAAACGCACACGTCGTCCGTCCTCTGGTCCTATGAGCCAATATCGCACCTGATATTGGGTCAGCATGTGAACAAGAGTGCGCATAAGCAGAGTACGTACCCGTCCTAGAGGTAGGTTGGCGTATGCACCGCCACTATACAAGTCCTCTGGATATACATTCCATGACGGTGATGAGCTCGGAAGGTGCGCTAGGGATGTATGGATGATGGGTAAAGTAGGTGGTCGCGGGAAACTGGCCAAGAGATAGATGGTGAGAAACAGTGGAGGAATGACCAGAGCTAGACGATGAAATGGGGTTGAGCCCATCGTCGCTGATGGTGATAAAGATATGCACAAGAAGGAGGTATCACTGGCAGTAATTAATATTAAGAACTTGAAATCGCGTAAAAATCATGAAACGCACGAAAGACGTACGTTACATACGTCCTCCAAAACAGGAGCCAATCCAACGAGCACAATGTCACATGACTACAGCTTATGTAGCTCCGACAGATCACGTGACGTGCACCGCGCGTTGGGTTGGCGTTGTTTGGCTTTTTGATTTCTTGCGGCCGACGACTCCTGCTCATCGTCACCCACGACGATTCACGACCCGTGATATCAAGGCCTCTCACCGCCGGTCGTGATGAGCGAATATCCACCCTTTGCTCTTGATGATCTGGTTCATATCATGTCCCTCTCCCCGGCGCCACCACTCGCAACACTGGATGACTCTCAACTACCCCTCCGCCCCAAGACCGCATCTCCTAGGCCCCAAATTGACAATGGCGAACAAGAGGTACGCATAAATATCACAGACATGCATGATCTCAGTGTAGGGGAGAAAGAGCTACCCGATTTGGTGCGTTATATTTTGTTTAATATCATCACAAGATGTCTGACTTAGCTTACATATCTATCCTAATAGGTGGTGAAGGAAACTAGTGGGGTGCATCCTGACACAGAGCAAGTCATTAGGCAGGCTGAAATCATATCCTGCCTAATTGTCCAGCGCGATATGCTCTTGCGACAGGCAGAGGAGCAGAGACTGCGGTGGAACTCAGAGAAGGATAGTTGGGCACGGATGGCCGAAGCTCTCATTGCACAGCAGTCAAAGCACAGGAGTCCGTCTGACAAGGATGAAGTGAGTCATTTTGCTTTCTCTTTAGCGATGGTGGTTTAGCAAGCTGCATGGTCGTCTTGATAAATTACCTATCACCCAGCCGTGATACTGATGGCAGTAAGCTGGTCTCATAGACATGTAAACAAGCCATTATAGCCTTTTGTCGTCCTCCTTGCCTTCTTCGGATTAACAGAACTGACTTTGATTCAGGAGCTTGAGCGACAACAAGCTATAACTGAGGCAGACAATCGGAGTCTCCGCCAACGAGTGAGCTCGTCCTTCCATCACACACCTCTATCTATCGCTGATTTTTCACCAGCTTCATGAAACTCAATTGCGTCTCTCCATCCTCGAAGGTGAACTATCCCGCCTCCGCCCTTTGCTTCTCATGCAACCTCTCGCATTAAACGGACATGTCAGCCTGAATCAAGTACCAAAAACTCGTCTACACCGGCGGAGAAGGAAGGATCCGCAAACTACTGAGGACGAGGACCCTGGTCTTGATCCTTCTGACGATGACCATCCAGGAGACACTGAGGACACGCCTACAACCACACCAAAGCAGAAATCTCGTATAACAACAAATCTCCATCCGCATCCTTCCAAGCGCCAGCACTCTCAAAGACGTCCTTCGCGTGTTCTAACTGCAGATGCTAGAACAGAACACTTACTGCTAGCAGCAAAGAAAATCGGAAAACAGCGTGCTGGCATAATGGCTGGCCTCACACAGACCCTGGACAAGCAGCGAGAGGAATCAACTTCAACCGTTGTTGCTACCCCCAAGACACCAAAGCGCACAACGGCTGTTCCTCCTGGGCCAGGGTACGTCTATCTTAATAGTCCAATGCGCCCAGGTGCTGTGCCAGTGCTTGTTCCTGCATATTCACGTCACATGCTACAAACTCCAAGCTCTTCTAAGACAACGGCTTCAGCGTCTTCCTCCACTCATCAGCTGAAGAAGCAGCAAGGTGCGCGTACACATCACCCACCAACGCCTTTGGACTCTCTTTTGAGTGCAGCAAGGTCAATGATGGACAACGAGGAAGATGATGAAGAAACTACCATTGGCATGAGGCGTTCGCGATCAAGTGACATGCCTGACAGTCCTATACCAAAACGCAGGAAGATAGCTGCTCGGGACAAGGTCAGTGCGCTCAGAGACCAAACAAGAGATCAAAGTGGAGGACAGCCAAATAATAGTTCAGCTGGCTCCAGTTCAACTGCAGTCGGCAGGATTAGATCAGGGCTGGACGTTTTAGCTGACCAAGCTGCTGCATTCTCTTCGCAAGACCAACATAGTCATTTGGAACCTCACTTACTGCCTAAGGGTAAAGGGAAGGAGAAGGCTCTCATTCCTGATACTTCCCCCGATAATCAACTGAGAGAGAAAAGCAGGTCAAAGAAGAAGCAATCTTTACCTAATGTTGTGCCTCAGCCCCCCCAGTCCCGTCGACCCTCACCTTTGCCTCGAGCAAATGCAGTTGACTGGGGTTCTGGACCGCCAAATCTACGTCCAGTTCAATGGACCGAGGGACCTATACAAGTTTCGCCTGGCGACCACGGTTCTTCCCGTGAGATCGCAGCCGCCTCTCAGCCTATAACATCATCCCTCACACCCCCTCCACGACCTGATTCGGCTGATCAAGTGATACATGATACTCCCAGCAGCGCGGCTACTTCACCACATATCCCTCTCGTCGAGCCCACTCCCGATCACAGCGTGGATGCGCCCCCCAGTCAGTCAGTACTCATTGATCCATTCCTTGTACCCCTTTCTCCCCAGAATGACAGTTCCACAGCTACAAAAGCTGTGGCCTCGTCATCTGTACTACACCAACGGGCAGTCACTACCCCAATTAGTAGTAGTTCGGGAGATGCCCCGTCGGATTTGCAAGCACATCTGCGACACGAGACAGCTCCTGGAAACACCGACGCAGGGAGTGCTGATTCGATCGCTGATGACGCCGGACCGAGTTTTGGTGCTGCAACTGGAATTGAATCCGTGGCGATCACGAAGAGCAAGGAGGTCACCAGGGTTGTGGGCCAAGATGTCCCAAAGAGGCAGCGAAGCCCCTACGTCAAGTGGAGCAAGGAGGAAGATGATTTACTTGCTCAGGTCAGTGTTCTGTGATTATAGCGACCAGATTCTTGACACGTTTTGATAGGCTGTTGCCAAATACGGACAGAAATGGGACTTGGTTCAGAAAGCATTACCATCGAGGGGATATCACCAAGTTCGGCAGCGATGGCTTCGCAAGCTAGGTACGCTGCAAAATATTTATCATTTACTTACAAAGCTTACCCAGCTCTAGGGGTCTTCGACAGCAAACCAGACTTGTCCGCCTTTCAAACTGGTAGCTTCCCGTCTGGCTCGCGTTTAGGAGAGACGCCAGGATCACCCGTTACAGCTGAACCTCCTCCAAATCCGAAGTTGGGACTTGCTCCGTTGAGCAGTGAACTTGCTTTTTCGTCGTTTTTATCTAGCAGAGCGGAGAGTCGACCGTCGTAGCAAAATTCTAGCCGCCTTGGTAATTGCTGAGAGTATTGTACTTTACTGTTTATCACTAGTAGCACCATTCGCCGGTCATGGTGTAATTGTTGTGCGGATATTATGTAGTAGCTGCTTGATTTTTTTTAGGATTGTTATGGAGAATGCAACACTCTAAATTTCAAGGTCTGATGGTGACTGCAATTCTTATTCAAAGAACCTGATTGAGTCTTTGAAGACATACAAGGCAAGAATAATATGCCTTGACGGGAGTCATGCTCGGCTGGTCTTCAAATCTTCCTCGGTGGCTACCATGCTGCGAGCAGGTCCTGAGTAATCACATCGATTAATGGTATATACAAGTGCTAGCGAAGCAGGTACGATGAACAGGAAATTCCTCCAATCCAACATCAGTGCATCAACAATTACAAAAGTTCTCGAGCTTGATAAGGAAGACAGTCTATATCCAAGTCCAGTATACATGCACACGAATGCACATGATGATGAAAACTTTTCTTCAGTATCCACCATTTACACGATGTTCACCGTCGCGTTGCGATATTCAACCATTGGGGCATAAACCAACTATAAAATCAGCTTCAGATTATGAATGAGGATAAAAACACAATATATTTCGTACCCCAATGAGGTAAAAGTGTGTGAGCGTAAAGATAGCAGGACCCTCAGGAAAGTAAGATGGTATGGTGACGGTAAAGTTCTGGTAGTTGCCATTAGGGGAATCGTGGGGTTCAGGCGTCCAAGGGCCTGCATAGAGAACATATTCTAACCCGTCTGCAGGGTCGGGGCAAAAGCCGTTCACGCAGCTACGGATTCCTAAGGCAATGCCAACCTGAATGACAGGTGCCATAGATCCCTAGTAGTATAGCATTTGTCAGAGTGATGCGTGAAACTGAGAAACGAACTGTCTACTAACCGGTAGAATAACCTGAGCGGTCACCACCTGACCGGGGCAGAAGTTATCTCCATTCTGAGGGAATCCTAGCTCGATCGTCTGAGCCAAGGCAGCAGAGATCCCTGCAGCAAAGATGGCTATGTAGTTGAAGAGCATGTAAACAGAAGATTAAGAGTTTTCAAAGGCGGTTTGTAGGTTGGTGGATCAGTTGAGCGACTTTATACCCCTCGAAGTGGCATTGCAATGTTTACGGCGACATTGAGTTCAGAAGATACATACACTACGTCACGCATTGAATCATCGGACAGCTTCGCCGCAGAACCAAGCTTGATCCGAACCTCGAGCTAGGGTCCGAGACTTAGCTAGTCGGATGTATCGGACGTGATGTTGAGTAGAAGCAGTGAATGTAAATTACCTGGACTAACCTAGGTACTCGTGCAGAGTCTAATGCTAATTCCAAAGCTGAAGAAATCAAAATCTCTGTCGGAAGAGACAAAGCACTCGGAATTGCCTCCAAACGCTTCGATGTGAGAGTCAAAGCTCGCTGCCGGGTGTGTCCAGGAGAGCATGGGCCTGGCCGATGGGCAATGCCACTTGCCAATTAAGACTCTGGGCCCGGGCGGATCCAATTCCCGTCACAGAAGAATCGTATGACCCGCAATATGACGAAGTTGGCTAGGCTCACTCCACTCATGCAGGAAGAGATGCAGGGGACAATGAAGTTGCCAAACAACGGACGCAAAGCGCACCAATCTTGGATTCGCATGTGCTTGACCAAGGATCTGATGGGGATCAAAGACCGCTGTGGTGGTTGACCGTTGAGAGAGGTCATCTAAATTTAGGCACCGAGAGCCTTATTTCCAAATTCGGCATGACGTATGTAGATCATGCGAACTGCAGCTACATAGTATCGATCATAGCATCATAGCATGTATGTACATAGTATCCATCATAGCACAATATAGACGTAAGGATGAAGCAGCGATATCTACAAAGGAAACAAACAATCTAACATATCATGCAGTGACTGGCCCGAACTCGACGAATTGTAAGTGGCATATACAGAATCGTCCAGCGTCGCTCTTCCGAAGCTTAACAGACAGTTTCTTCAAGGCTCTTCACCCAAAGATGGTTCCGGTTCAGCGGCTTCTTCAAGGTTGAAGAACTCATTGAACTGCTCGTCCCAAGTCGAATCCGTGATCCCGTCATCGGACTCTTCCAACAGCCCCCACAGCTTCAACAGCTCCAACAGCTCGCTCTCAGTCAAAGTGCCATGTTCTTCAGGACCGTTTGCAGTTGAGCCTTCGCAAGGCCCTTGAGAACTCTCGTCGGTCTCTTCCTGGTTCAAGGAGCAAAAGGCCTTAATATTGGAAAATTGCCGATTACTTTCACCGGAAAGGATCCATATATCAGCTTTAAAGTCACATCTGAAAGCACTAGTACTCACGCTTCATATTCGGGGGCATTCTGGTGCTTCCTCGAATTAATATGATCTTGTCTGCCATCGTGTGGTACTAGAGGTGCGTCTTTGCACTGCGGCAGGCGGCATCTGTAACAGATGTTGCCATTGAATTGGATCAGGTCCTGATGAAACAACTGTCAGCATGATGACGAAAACTGAACACTAAAAATTTAACTCACGAAATGGTAGTTATCAAAAGTTATGATTTGCTTCTTTCGTGGAGGAGCATCAGAATCAGAATCGTCCAAGTCCACCGCCTTGCGCTTGCCGCGCATGACAGGGCTTTCCTCGGGGACAGCTACTGGTATTTGTTGTTGCGGTTGCTCCAATGGTTGGTTGTAGGGGGGCTGTACCAAGGGGGGTGCGACAGGATAGTAAGGCGGCGCAGCCGCTGGAGGTGCACCCATACCCTGGAAAGCAGGGTAATAGCCACCCCAGTTTTGGGGAGGAGGGACCGGGTATGGCGCTGCTGGGGCTTGGTGGATGGCTTGTAGATGTTGTTGATATAAATGTGCGTAGAGGAGCTCCGGGGCATGAGGATTAAGATGCAAGGGCATAGATGGAGGCTGGGGCACTGCTGGAGGGTAATAATAAAGCCCATTTTGAGGCGGGCCTTGGATCGGCATTTGGCCTGTTTGAGCTGGCTGGTGGTACATATTCAGCTGTCTAGAATGGTCGAGATCAAGTATGGATGGCGCTAGACTCTGGCCTGTGACAGGACGAGATGAGCGACAGAAGGTGGAGTAAGTATACAAGAGCGACTCACAGTACACAAGTTAGATGGTAGACGTGGAAAGCAAAATGCGATGGATGGTGAAGAGAAGGAAAGAAATACAAGTTGCAGAATTTAAACTGTCGAAGAAACCACAACTAGTGGATCGACCGTTGTGCTTAGTTTTGCTTTGTTGCGTTGTGGTCACCAGATTTTTACACAAGCCAAGCAACACACAAAGGAACCCGTCCACTAATCCTGATTCCATCCACAAACAGTAGCATAACCCGGATATTCCCTGACGTAGCTGTGGATATGTTCAATTATGTTTATTCACAAACATTAAACACGACGCGCTTATTGATTCCAGGTAATCTCCTTTTGAATAGGTATGATCATGAATATGTTCACCAGCCGTAATCGATCGACTTAATATTGCCATCCGAAATTGCACACTCGAGATCTGTCGACAAAATCCATAAGCATTAAAAATCGGACAGGAATCGCATATTTGTTGATACTAACGATATAGACATATGGCCAACTACCAATAGAAGGCCGCGTCTCTGGGTTACATTCCACAAGGACGTCGGATGCAAACTCCGGACATTAGCCACCCATGCACCCACTCTCTCCTCTCATCGGATCATGGGTCATTGTGCTCTTAACACGTTACAGCCTCATGTGTGGTCTTCACATCCACAAGGATCTGCGTCGAGCGCAACATGCCGAATTACGTCGAGGGACTGTGCGAGCGAAAGTAATAGACGTACCTTCAAGTCAAGCGCGACGAGTACCTCTGTTTCACGAATCGCCTCCCGGATGCAATGTCCTGTAAGGACACCTCGTACCTGCGGGATGTTGGTGAGTACTGGATTTTTAACTTATATCTGGTTTGACTTGAAATAAATTGACGTCAGAATACATCGTCTGCCCGTCGTGGACTTGGACATTCTTACAACGAATCGAAATGTTTGTAGTTGTTCCAAGTCCAACAGGGTAAACGATGTGTAAATCATCTGCGCAAGCCAACGTGCTTTTCTGCGTGTAGTGAGTGCCCGAAGTATCATGTATCTGACTCAGTATACACAGAGAATGATTGTGACCTTCAGAACACATCTCCTTCAGAAGGTAATTTCGGTGCGTACTATGACATTGAAAGCGTCCAAACCATAGACCGACTTCATCCTACCCCAAAGCAGTACTGAGTGACAAGAATGAAAATTAAAAGGCTTACCCGTGCTCCCGCATCCGTGCCCGTCCGCTCTTATAAAAACTCAACGCACTGATCAACTTTGCGATACTACAAGTTTCGCTTCCAACTTTTCGACAGTCCTTGCAACCCGATGGAAACGAGAACCCGTTCAAGTCTCGCAAGGACGGAGGTTGGGGATGGAGCATAAGGGATCGAAGTTGAAGAGAAACTCAAGGGGAGTTCTGTGTACATCTGCTTTTGATAAACTAACCTGTTTGTATATGTCAGCGTGGGCGCCGATCGGACGACTATTCTGTGTAGTCGAATGTCAGGTCTGTGGTAGGGATATTGTCTAAACGGAGAAACTCACCTCACGGTGACTGATACAGTGCCTAATCAGGTGCGTTAGGCAAAGTCCTTGTTCATGAAGGAAAGATGTAAAGTTTTTTCAGTACGCTGACTTAGAAGAGCTGCCTGTGTCGTTGCATTTGCTGGACTACCACATGTGGATAGAACAGTTGATGAACCGACAGAAATCACACCTTGGGATCACTGACATCTGTTCGAACAGTTCATGTAAAATTCATGGTGATTCAGAGGCGGCAATGTTTGCAAAGTGACTCGATTCATCATGCAGGTGGGTTGCGGTTCAAATGAACTTCTGTCACTTTGTCTCTTCTTCAAACTCCGACAGGTAACTCGACCCTCGAACTCACCGTGTCATCAGGAACTGACAAGCTAGGCTTCCCCGTACACGGCTGTACTCCATATTCACATTGCGATGAGAGCACCCGTTCATCGCGCGGCCTATAGCATGAGGCAAGACACGTAGCGAGTTACTTTATTTCGTACGTTTGACACCGTTTTATAGACTCCAGTACAAACGAATGTCAAACTTTTGCGCGCGCTTCCACTCAGATTTGACTTGGACCATACACGAAAATAAACTCATGTGCTGCGATGTGTTGATGGCTTAGAACGTATTTTCTTCAAGTCAAAGCTCCAGCCTCATTGACGCAAACACGCTTCTACACGACTTTGTAGGACTGATAACTTCCGCAGTCTGGATAACAGCTAACCACGCAGTAGATTTCCATTCAAATTCCATGTCGCTTTCCTTATTCCAGACATTCCCGCACACCTTGCTTGCGAACGCTCGTAAGACCGAACCTTTATGTAGGCTAGAATTGTGTACGTGGAATGTGACAAGGGAAAGGTAGGGTCTCGTACTCAAAGGCAGGCCCACAAAAGGGAAAGTCTTAGGTCCTACTGAAAATGAGCGACTATCAGCACGCAGAACTTCTGGGATATCGGCATCAGTTTAGCGAATGTATCCCGCATGTGCCGATATAACTACGTCCAGTCGACCCCACCAGACAAGGTCAGTGCTGGTTCGTTTACCAGGGGAAAAACAATCAAAGGATAAACGTTGCTTAATCTAGAAGCTCCTACTATAGAATGGTAAAGAACCATTACAATACGTAGCTCACTGAGGATAAGATATTGGAGGTATTGCATTCATGCATCAAAACACCGAGGACCGTCAAGAGATCTAAAGTTACAAATAACATATGTATCTACGTGCATAGAGCACTGAATGCTATATAAAAATAATAAAACACAGGAAATACCGATAGCACAACGCTAGAAGCACAAACATGATCGGCCGCTTCCATGTTCACCGGTGGCAAGCTGTACTGCTGCGGCTGAATGAGAGGCAGGGTCGAGATATTCATCGGGTACCATATCCTTGGCTTTTTTGAGAGCACCCGCTGCAGTGTTGCGCTGGAAAATTCATGCATTAAACTTTGAGCAAAATGAAAAAAATGAACGGAACATGCCTGAGTTCCCAAGATAGGATGGGGTAGGGGCAAAGTGGCAGAAAACTGTGATACGGATATCGGTAAAATACGAAAACAACGAAAGAAGGAAACATACATACATCTAAGGGATCACGAGTGTCACTGTTCTCAGAAGGACGTACTGGCTTCGCGCGAGGAGAGAAGCCAAGAAGGTTTTTGAGACGAAGGAACACGGGTTGCTGGGGTTCGACGGTAGGCAGAGGTCTAGGCGCCATAGGTGTGGCAGGTATCGGTGGTTTCCGGCGCACGGTAGAACAGCGAATTGCGTCAGGCTGCAGAAATAGTAATGGATGAAGCGGTGCAATGCCAAGTAAAAGAATACAACACGTACTTTTGATAGATCATGGTGAGCTGGCTTTTTGCGTGCACTTGTCTATGAGGAAAGATTAGCACATGAACAGGAGATGTTTATGAGTACACTTGCCCGAACAAGGACATCTGGTGGAGTATCGCAGATACAGATGTTGAAATCATCGTCAGATTCGATGTATGTCGCGTAAGCAAATTGATGCGAGTCGGGTGAGAGGATAAGGATACCAGGACTTTGAGCGTTGAAGGAAGCGAGAAGTTGACGCGACTCGCAGTCCCAGAGCTTGATGGTGTTATCGAAGGAAGCGCTAGCGAGGAGAGCATGGTCAAATGAAAGCGCTAGGCCAGTGACATCCTTGATGTGCCCTTCAAAGGGAGCTCCGACAGTCTCCAGCGTTGACGCGTCAAATTCGTAGATTGTCTTGGCATTGTCATTCGCGGTGAAGTTGAACGGGGATATGATGGTCTTGTTGCGTTTTGTCCAGCATACAGCCGGCTTATGCGTGAACCCTACTCCACCGAATTCCCCAATCCTCACATCTAATTTCTGTGATTGAACATCACGGACCTCAAGGCACATCCCCAGCCACGACCTGACCGCAAGCTTCTTCGAATCTGTTGAGAACCGAACCGCCCCCGGGCCTCTGAATGGACCAGCTACGAGTTCTCCAGTCTCGAAGCTCCATATTCGCGTTGTAAAATCATCTGATCCACTCGCCAACAACCTGTTGTCCGCAGAGATATCGATGCAGGTGATCCTTCGTGAGTGTCCTTCAAATGTTCGCACAATCCCCGTCTCAACATCACACGCTTTCAACTCCGCACGATCACCATCTCCACCACTGGCAGTGACAACCCATCGACCATTCCTTGATACTGCTACTGCCCAAACTTGCCCTTTACAAACAACTCGTGCTTCCTCGATTTCCTTACCTACCTTTAGATCCCATTGTCGGGTGGTCTTATCCCAAGATCCGCTGATTATTCGCTGACCGTCTGGATAGTAGGATATGGCTTGAATCAAGTCTCCGTGGCCCTTCAAGGTCAACGATGATGTCAGATTCGATTCCGTAGCAGTTGTCTTCAACGTCGGGGCAGAGGCCATGACTGTGTCTCTGAGCCAACCTGGTAGTCGAGTACAGGCAAGGTATTCTTTGGATGCGTCGAAATGCACAAAGGTGAGGTCTCCCGGTGTCCGTGTATTATATGACTGACGGTAGCAGCGATTCAGATACGAGCTTTCTGGTAAATTCAAACATCAATTCCTCCGCGCTGGGGATACCGAAGAGAATTTGGTGTTACCAGATGTTAGCGCTTTAGCAGCAAAGAACTGAAGGAGTGATGGATCCCTGAATGTGAGTCCTAGGCTCCGCCTGACATATATATACCCTATCTATATCATCACCTGTGCATTGCGCCCGTCATTCTATTCATCGCATTTGCTTCTCCGCCTCACAACCTTGGCAGTCACTGCCACGACTAAAGCGTCAAAGCTGTCTTCCTGTTCCCACCCAACGATGGGCAAGAAACACTCAAGTACTACTTCTAGTACCCGCTTTATCACTCGTTCGTCGTCTTTGCTTCGAATGGCTGAACGTTTACGAAGACCATCTTTCCTTACACCTCATATCAAACTGTTCTGAGTACGCAGATATTTCGTTACCTTTGAATCTATCAAAATTCAATGTGTATCTAACACCGAAATTCAATGCCGCTCCCCAAAATTCAAGATTAGGATGGAACTCAATCAGACCGCTGTCTGCGCATAAACTGTTGCACAAAAGGTTTTTTCTAGCTTTCAGTATCAGCGACGGTATATGTACTGATAAGGGAACTCAGTGTGTAGAAAATTGAACGCCTAGAAACGGGAGCTGAGTGTTCTACGAATAGCCAGGTCTTATGCATTTCGACTCTTCGAGGTCAACGTCCTTGAATATGTATGAGCTATGGTATAAGAGATGAAAGAGGTTGAACGTGACATTCTGATAACTACACAGTCTGCACTTGCACTCCGTCAGATAAATTTGCCAGTTTGAATGGATGACAAGTTCTTCGCAAGTCGCAAGTTGTAGTAAACAAGAAATGATGGGTCCGATCAAGGTCTGATAATGAGAAAGTCAGTTAGACCAGTGCTCTCCTGCATCAAGCCTGCATGATAAATTAGATCATGGCAGAATTCGCGAAGAGCATGATTTTTCGTCAACGACGATGATTCTCCCGACTCCAATGACTGTGCAACCAATGTTTCCTCATTGCGGCCGTAAGTGTAGAGGATACTGGAGTAGGCCTATGATTAATATACAGTATCTCGTTTTATCTATTGTAAATAATTTCTGAATGCGAGATAGTCAAGATTCAACGAGATCTGGACAGCGAGTCAAATTCACTCCTGATCGCTTCGTCAGCTCCCTCCGCCGAGGGACGGCCCCAAGGATTAGTAGACCAACATTGCTCGATGAATGGCCAGTATTGCTCAAGAAGCTCAGGATAACGAGATCGAGAGGGCGTTTGTGACTTGGCTATGCGGAGTATGATGGTGGCATCGTTCGTGAGGTAATAATAGGGTGCTTTGTTGGTGAGGACCTACGAGTAGAGCTTTTCATATTAATGAGAGGCTAAAATTGACCCAAACATACCTGCAGCGTGATACCGCCAAACGAATACATGTCGCTCTGCTTGCTTGGCCGAACCTGAGTACCATCATCCCGCACTACGAGTAGCTCAGGAGCCATCCATCGCACGTTTCCTTTGATCGTGGACGTATGGGAAGCCTGAGAGGCGCTTATGAACTCGGAGTACATCAAGGAAAGGCCAAAGTCAGCAATGCACGCGGTGCCATCACCGTGGATCAACACGTTAGGCTGAAGCTCGCGTTTAAATGAAATTGGAACAATCAATCGAGAAGATCGAACTTACCCCATTAAAGTCGCCATGGATGACATTGTTGGTGTGGACTGTGAAGAGTAGTTTCTACAGCTCCGTCCGGTGAGAGAAGTCTATAACATACGATATCGCAGACCAGCTATGATATCCCTTAGCTAAGATTTTCATCAGTCGGGTTAGGAAATATTCAATATACATGAAGAGAGACTTGCCAGTTGGAATCGCCGAACGAGAGTCAGAGCCGCACCTTGGAGCTTCAAATAGACTGTCAAGTTGCCGTTCTCCGCCCAAAGACTGACTATTGCTGGAAATGGGCCGAAGCCATGGGTATAACCATAAATGCGTAGGATATTTGGATGATTGAGCTTGGCGCATATCCTCAGTTCATGCATAATCCTCTACGAAGTGGTGCCCTGTAGTGTAAGTGACGAACTCAATCTTCCGGTGAGACACTCGCCTGAATCATTTTGGTCTTGGCTGGTCCAAGTTGATCATCGACGTACTGCAATGCTTTCACGGCGACCTGCAAGATGATAAAAATTTACACAGATGGACAGACCAAAGATGGTAAACGAACTCTGATGGGGCTAGGATCTTTGTACAAGGTGCATTTCCAGATCTTCCCAAACCCGCCATGAGCAACAGGGTAGTCTCCATTTTTGATGATATATTTTGAGAGGTCTTGAAACATTGTACTTTCGAGATCTTCTGTGGGTCCTTTTGAGCGTGCAATGGTCTGTAAGGGAATGTTAGCATACAAAGTGAATGTCTGCGAGGAATGAATATACATGCCTGAGCAAGGACTGCGGGTGGAGTATCATAGATGTAGATCTTGTTGTTATTATAAACTTCGGTGAGCGTTGTGTAAGCCAGCTGGCGTGAGTCGGGTGAGAAGACAAGTAAACGCGGAAACTGAAATGAGTCAAAGGAGGCGAGGAGCTGACGGGACTCGAAAGCCCAGAGCTTGATGGTGTCGTCATAAGCAGCACTGGCCAGGAGAGTATGGTCAAATGACAGTGCTAGGCCTTCGACAACGTAGGTGTGCCCCTTGAAGGGAGTTCCAACAGGCCTTAGTGTCGATGCGTCAAATTCGTAGATTGAGTAGTCATTGGCAGGGAAGTCGAATACAGCCAGTATGTTTTTGTTGTTGTTTGTCCAGAATATTGGCGTATATGTGTAATTTTCTCCCTTGAGTGTGACATCCAATGTCTGTGATCGGAGATCCCAGATTTCAAGGCACAACCTCGATTTGAGCGCAATTTTTTTGGAATCTGTGGAAATTCGAATTACCCGCACCCAATCCTCGCTCTGGAATGGACCGGCCACGAGTTTTCCGGTGTCCAGATTCCATACCCGCGTTGTGTAACCTTTTGACGCACTATTAGGAACGTCCATTAAATTGATTGACACAGCTGCCATCAACGTGTTGTCCATGGAGATATCAATGCAGGCGATCTCATCTGCATGTCCTTCGAATCTTTTCACAACCCCAGTCCCAACCTCACGAGCTTTCAGCGCAAACCTACGCAAACCTCCTCCACAAGTGACAATCCATCGACCATCCCTCGACATCACTGCGTGTACTTGCCCGTAAACATAGCGCGCTTCCACAATTTCCTTGCCCGCCTTCAGATCCCATTGCCGAACAATATTGTCCGAGGATGTGCTGATCATTCGCTGGCCATCTGAAAGATAGGATATAGATGTGATATAGCCTGCATGACCTTTCAAAGCTATGGATTGTTCCGGACTCGATTCTTGCGATGGAGGGAGAGAAGGTATGGCAGGTGACGTAGTTGTACTTTCGAGATTTTCTGTGGGACTTTTTGAGCGTGCAATGGTCTGTAAGGGAATGTTAGCACACAAAGTGAATGTCTGCGAGGAATGAATACACAGGCCTGAGCAAAGACTTCGGGTGGAATATCGTAGATGTAGATCTCGTGATTATCTTTGGTGTATGTTGTGTAAGCCAGCTGGCGTGAGTCGGGTGAGAGGACAAGAATATTGGAATATCGAACATCAAAGGAGGCAAGGAGCTGACGGGACTCGAAAGCCCAGAGCTTGATGCCGTCGTCCACAGCAGCACTGGCCAGGAGAGCGTGGTCAAATGACAGCTCCAGGCCGTTGACAACGCCGGTGTGCCCTTTGAAGGGAGTTCCAACAGGCCTTAGTGTCGATGCGTCAAATTCGTAGATTGAGCGGCCATCGACAGGCGCCCAGAGTGCAGTCAATATGTTTTTGTTGTTGTTTGTCCAGAATATTGGCGTAGATATGTGCTCTTCTTCAAGCTCGACATCCAATGTCTGTGATTGGAGATCCCAGATTTCAAGGCACGTGCTCGATCCGACCGCAAGCTTTTTGGAATCTGTGGAAATTCGAACGGAGTCTATCCAATCCTCCGAGTCGCTCTGGAATGGACCGGCCACAAGTTTTCCGGTGTCCAGATTCCATATACGCATTGTTGAACCGATTGACACACCTGCCACCAACATGTTGTCCATGGAGATATCAATGCACTTCAAGCCGATCCTAGATGCATATCCTTCCAGTATTTTCACAACCCCACTCCCAACCTCACGAACTTTGTGCGTCAAAAATCCAGAAGTGACAATCCATCGACCATCCCTCGACACCGCCATTGCGTATACGCCATCTTCATCAACATCGCGCGCTTCCACAATTTCCTTGCCCGCCTTCAGATCCCATTGCCGAACGATCTTGTCCGAGGATCCACTGATCATTTGCTGGCCATCTGAAAAATAGGACATAGATGTGATCCGTTGTGCATGACCTTTCAAAGTTATGGATGGTTCCAGAATCGATTTCACAGCGGCTATCTGTGTCGATGAGGAAGACATGGCTACGTCTCCGCGAGCGAAACCGTGAAGTAGTCAGGTACGAACAAGTTTTCCGACAGTGCAAAGGTGAGAGCTCGCAGTATCGATGTACGACAGTGATTTGAAGAATATGCCCCCTGCTGAAGCCAATTGTCAGTTCATCCGCACTGCAAGTCTAAATCAGAATTTGTTACCGAGAAGTCGGCAGCAAAGGCGTTGGAGAACAATGAAGCTTGGAATGTTAGAACGGCCTTGCGCACAGCCCTGATATGCCCTTTTCGCATGGCAGCTGTGCAACGCGCCTAAATCATTTTATTCATCGCATTTGTTTCTCCTCGCTTCTCGCCTCACTGCCATGAGTATCATTAGCGTGTCGAATCTCCTTGTCCCACCCCAACTTTATCGATGCTCGTTTGTCGATTTTGTTTTGGCTCGGCCACCTATCCCTTATTAAATTGCTCTGAGTACGCGCGGGCATCCCATCCAGTGTACAACCTTCTGAATATTTTGGTAACTTCTCAACCGCACGATGGCGAGTTTAAAGGTGAGCTGCATGTATATGATTCTTGACCACACGTCAGAAAGCAATCTTCATTGTGCCGTTGTCTTCTAGCGCTAGGCATCCAGTAGTCACCACGGAATCACTTGTACTGGGTTCCCCTGAGTAGTCGGGCCTATATTCAACGCGGATGAAGTCTTGAAGACTTCACTCCATCAACAACGCCCATCAGCAGAATTATCGGAGCTTCTGATCAGCGCGTCGGCTTAGAAATGGGAAATGAATGTATTATAGACAGCAATATCTTGAGTCAGTCAGCTAGAATCTGCATATGAGCTGTGTATAAGGTTGACGTGACACGATAAATGACCACGCAAAGTCTCCACTTACACCGTCGAAGAAATTCATCATTTGGGTCGATTTCAAGTTCCCACAAGGTAAAATCAAGAAACTACCGTCTCGTCTTTCGCCTGTGACACGCTTGTCGCAGAATTTGTCAACACGATCATCGACTGTGATTCTCCGGACTCTGATAATCCTACAACCAATGTTCCTCATCGTAACACAAGTACGTCAATACCACAAGAGAGACCATGGAATGAGCCTACATGAGTACTTAGATCTATTTATCTGGCTGTATTGTAAACAAATTTTGGGATGAATAATCAACGAGCGAGTAAAATTCATCCCTGATCGCTTCGTCAGCCCACTCCGCCGAGGGACGGCCCCAAGGATCACTAGACCAAAATTGCTCGATAAATGGCCAGTATTGCTCAGGGAGCTCAGGATAATGAGATTGAGAAGGCGTTTGTGACTCGGCTATGCAGAGTATGATGGCGGCATCTTTCGTGAGGTGATAATAGGGTATTTTGTTGGTGAAGACCTACGAGTAGCTTTTCATAATTAATGAGAGGCCGAAATTAACCCAGGCGTACCTGTAGCATGACACCACCGAATGAATACATGTCGCTCTGTTTGCTTGGTCGAACTTGAGAGTCATCCTCCCGCTCTATGAGCAGCTCAGGAGCCATCCATCGTATGTTTCCTTTGAGCGTGGACGTGTAGGAAGCCTGAGAGGCGCTTATGAACTCGGAGTACATCAAGGAAAGGCCAAAGTCAGCAATACACGCAGTGCCATCACCATGGATCAACACGTTAGGCTGGAGCTCATACTTCAATGAAATTGGAACAATATAGAAGTTCCGACTTACCCCATTGAAATCGCCGTGGATGACATTGTTAGCGTGGACTGTGAAGAGTAGTTGCATCTCTGTCCGGCAAGAAAAAAGTCTATGACATACGATAACGCAGACCGACTATGATATCCCCTAGCTAAGTTTTCCATCAATATGGTTGTGGGCTACACAATATGCATGGACTTACCAGTTGGAATCGTTGAACAAGAGTCAGAGTCGCACCTTGACGCCCCAAATAGGCCGTCAAGTTACCATTCTCCGCCCAAATACTGACTATCGCTGGAAGCGGCCCGAAGCCATACGCATAACCCCAAATACGGAGAATATTTGGATGGTTGAGCTTGGCGCATATCCTCAGTTCACGCATAATCCTCTACGAAGTGGCGCCCTTTGGTATAAGTGACGAACTCGATCTTTCGGTGAGACACTCGCCTGAGTCTTTTTAGTCTTCGCTGGCCCAAGTCGATCATCAGCGTACACCTGCAATGCTTTCACGGCGACCTGCAACATGATAAAATTTAGACAGTTGAACAGAGAAAAGACGGCGAACGAACTTTGATCGAGCTACGATCTTTGCACAAGGTGCATTTCCAGATCTCCGCAAATCCGCCACGAGCAACAGGATGGTCTCCATCTTTGATGATATATTTTGAGAGGTCTGGGAGCATTGCTCTGAGACCATCAGGCTCAACATTATCATAAAAGGCGTGGGAAGAGGATGGAAGGAACTCGAGGTCTGGGAGCATTGATTTGAGACCGTCAGGCTGAACATAAGTATCATAAAAGGGTGTAAGGGTGTGGGAAGAGGATGGAAGGAACTCGCGGGGGAGCCGTAAAGCCACTGTAGAAGAGGGAAATTGCGATGGAGGGGGAAAAGCTATGGCAGGCAATATCGTTGTGCTTTCGGGGTCTTCTGTGGGTCCTCTTAAGCGTGCAATAGTCTGTAAGGGATTGTTAGTACAGAATGTGAATGTTTGCGGGGGATGCATACACATGCCTGGGCGAGGACTTCTGGTGGTGTATCGCAGCTGCAGATGTTGTTATCATCCTCATAGTCGTGTAACGTTGAATAAGCCAGCTGGCGTGAGTTGGGTGAGAGGACAAGTAAATGCGCATTCTGAACGTCAAAAGAGGCGAGGAGCTGACGGGACTCGAAAGCCCAGAGCTTGATGGTGTCCTTATAAGCAGCACTGGCTAGGAGAGTATGGTCAAATGACAGTGCTAGGCCGGTGACATGCTTGGTGTGCCCTTCGAAGGGAGTACCAACAGTCTTTAGTGTCGATGCGTCAAATTCGTAGATTGAGGAGTCGGTGAATGCAGTCAAGATGTTTTTGTTGTTGTTTGTCCAGAATATTGGCACAGATGTGTATGTTCCAACATCGAGTGTGACATCCAATGTCTGTGATCGGACATCCCAGATTTCAAGGCACGACCCCAATCTGACCGCAAGCTTCTTTGAATCTGTAGAAAATCTAATTGCGCTGACCCAATCAGAACACTCGAATGGACCGGCCACGAGTTTTCCGGTGTCCAGATTCCATATCCGCGTTGTGTAATCTTCTGACGCACTTGCCATCAACGTGTTGTCCATAGAGATATCAATGCAGGTGATCCTCCTTGTGTGACCTTCGAATCTCTTCACTACCCCAGTCCCACAGGCTGTCAGCTCAGCATTACCATTAAAATCTCCTCCACCAGTGACAATCCATCGACCATCTCTCGACACCGCCACCACCTTTACACCTTCCTGGTAAACACCTCGCGCTTCCACAATTTCCTCGCCCGACTTCAGATTCCATTGCCGAGCGGTCTTGTCCTCAGATCCGCTGATCATTCGCAGGCCATCTGGAAAATAGGACATAGACCTGATCCAGTCTCCATGACCTTTTAAAGTTACAAATTTCAGAACACATTTCGTAGCAGCCATCTTTATCCACGTAGAAGCCATGGCTACGTCTCCACGAGCGAAACCGTGAAGTAGTCGGGTAGCTTATGTCACGCGGGTGCGAGACGATAAGCTATATCGGCCTAGGCTTACGACACCCGAAGGTTAATCGTAAGGATCGTCGTTAATTAGAAGGACAGAAGTCCGACTAGTTAACAGGGGCTTTGCTCGTCGACGAAGTCGATGAGTAAAGATCGAGACTATAGGCTTATCCGCAAAGAGCAGATAAGAAGATAGAATATAGACTGCTGGCGAGGCAGAAGGATCACTCTGGTGAGAGTAGGAGGTCAAGAACCAAGTAGATTCAAGTTAGGGAATATAGTACATGGTAGCGAGTTTATATAGAGGACAGGAAACGTATTAGTGGATGATAACTCGTACTACTGGGAGAGGCAATCGGTAAAGGGTAAGACCATAACAGGAAGGCACGTTCGGTCTAGGTAGAACGTGCTAGATAAGAAAATGAGTCAAAGATCGAAATAAGAAGTGAAATGCGCAGGGGCACGATCGTGCAGCTGCGGATCTAAGTATACGTCGCATGTGCGACTGCGCACCGAGTCAGAGATCATAAAAGGGAATAGGGCAAAGGGGATGCGTCATGCATCATAACATTGGTTACCGTCCGGACGGTAAGGGCAAGGGGACTGTCCGCAGGATCAGTCAGGTGGTGAAACGGAGCATGGGTATGCTTCGTCAGCGAAAGGATCCGGCCAAATGTACTGGCTTTGCTGAAGCGACAGGTAGAGGGCGAAAGGGAATGCGAGGATGACGAGGATGACAAGGGTAAGGTCGGGGTAAGGGTATGATGCGAGGGCTGATACGAGGAGGATTAGGAGAAAAATAGTAGGGGCCCAAGCGTCTAGATGTTCTTGTAACACTCCAAGTCTACAACGATCGCCGACAGTGATTTGAAGAATAGGCCCCCTGATAAAGCTCGATTCATCCGCACTGGAAGTCCAAATCAGAATTTGGTGTTACCGAGAAGTTAGCAGCAAAGACGTGGAGGAGCAATGTCGTCTTATATGTGAGAACAGCCTTGCGCACAGCCCCAACATTCCCTTTCCGCATGCCAGCTGTGCAATGCACCCAGATCATTCCATTCATCGCATTTGTTTCTCGTTGCATTTCCTCACAGCCATCACTAAAGTCACTGCCATTAGTATCATTAAAAGTGTCAACTCTCCTGCGAGTCGTCACACCCCAACTCTATCATTGCTTGTTTCTCAATTTCATTTTGGCTCGGTCACCTTTCCCTATTAAACTGCTCTGAGTACACGCAGGCATCCCATCCGGTGCACAACCTTCTTCGTAGCTTCTCATCCGGTGTCCATTTACAGATTTCAAGGTCAACATCTGGGTTGCACACAGCATCGTCGAGAGTGAGAACGCAAAGTGACACGCTGTCTATTCACAAAGACGAACGAAGGACAATACTGTTCATATTGTATTTTCAAACTCGCTGTTGTAAACACGATTGCTCATCGAAGAACAGACCGGAGGGGTGTCCTTGTCATGATAAATCTCACCACTTGTGAGTACTAGAGCCTGACACCCATCACCCTTATAACTCACAAGGCATACAGTGCGCGATCGAGGATGACACAGCAAGTTGGATAGCCATGGAGTATATCGAAGGCGAGGAAGTCTTTCAAGGATTACAGATCAACATCGAGGACAGCCATTTGCGTCGTAGAGTATGTCATTGCTGGTTGACTACTGATCCAGAGCATCGCAAATGGTGCAACGTGATGCTCATCAATGCGCTCACCTGATGCATTGTCCGCTTGATTGCTTGAAAGCGATATGAAGGATTTCTGACTTAGGTAGGTCCACAATCAGCAGCGCATTGCAACCCTTGAATAGCCCTAACGTTGATAATGATGGTTATTCGCTGGTTTTCGAGATATTCGACTCGCCCAAGAGTGCTTTCAGCAGAATTATAATTATATCACGATCATCTGTTCATCCGCACCCAACAACTGACACCGGCACACCGTCATCATCCTCAACAACCCGTTCTGCCCATAACCTGGCACCCGAAGTGCGCCACTTGGTCACACCGAACCACATGCTCCATCCCTCTCCTTTCACGCCGATACAAAATGCAGATCACGCAGGAGTTTCAGGCCATCCTCGAATGCACTGACGCTCTCTTGAAATGCAGAGATGACCTTTCAGGTGCTGCGACACCTTTGCTTGTGAGCAAAGCTTCTTACTCTCATTTCATTTATACCTTCCTTCAAGTTTCCAAGTTATAATGCACATGTAATGATCTGGACTACTTACTAACTATCGCAATATAGCACAGTTTAATTTGCGTAATGAGTGTCATCCTTTACCTTCAAATACTAGTACCGTGCACTGGAGCTGCCCCACAAGTGTGAATAACTCCTTGCAATACGGACAACGGGTAGTGTTTCGCAATGAAATCAAACTCAACGACAAGAACGTGTCACAAGAACGGTCTGGTAAAGCGACCCCCGATCAACAATCATTTCATACTGTTCTTTGCTACGTGTACAAGTATTTCGAACAACTTCATTCCATGCTTTGTCTCATATTAGGATAGTCTTCAAAGCCTTTCCCGCTGAAGCTTTCCTCAAGGTACGCACTGATCACACCACTCGATCGCGCAAGTGAAATTACATTTCCTCCTAGTCACGATTCGAGTCTTGACTTTTGTTGTATCTCCCACTGCGAGTTCAAGTTGCACAACCTGACAATGAAGCGTAGAGTAAATCTGACAATGTCAATGTAACGTTGAATCAGTTGGTTCAAGGAAACTGAGGAGGGCCCCTAACGTTCCTTCCTGAGTGTCGTCGAGTTGCAGTTAAATTCGACAGAACCTTGAAAAAGCTAGAGTTTCCGGTTCGAGTCTATATGCATAGAAAACGTACAGTGCAGGAAGCTTCGTAGGTATGAGGCAGAATATAAGCTTCCATCTCAATCTGCGTCACTGAAGTCCTGGACAATAGATGCGTCGCAGCACAAGATGCGAGCCAATACGCTGAAAACTGCAGTGGTTTCGTTTCGTTTGTGACTGATAACCAGAAGGATGGGTCTATTGACAGACGACAGCCTGCGCCGTATCAGCTGCATCTCGATATCCGATCTCGATGCAAATAGTTTGTCCAATTTGAATGGAGCCAGCGAGCACCAACAGCAACAGAAGTGATTCTCCAGCATGACTTTACTCAACGAATGGACGTGAGCTCAGGAATAAACCTAGATCTTGGAGCACTACCCCTTAAACTGCTCTTCATCGCACACAATCCGCGCTCCCACAAGTTCTCCCTGGTACATTATCAGTCAAAAACACGCTACCCATTGCGCAACCACTGTACGGACCATCAAAGTAGAATGGGTTGAGATGCCTAAAGTGAAGTCGGATGTCCACCCCGCAAGCTACTCATTGTAGGTTAATGGAGAATTGTTGAGGTTGAAGTTCGGATCACTGTCTCACAGCCTAGATGACATGGGCAAGGCGGCGCCGCATACCGAACAGCCAAATGACCGGGCTGCATGTTGGCTCACCATATTTACAAGAACAGAGCCGTAGACGTCTAGGACCGCATCCGATACCAGGCGCGTGTTTGCTTGTCGCAGAATCCGTGAACACAATAATCGACAATGATCCTACAACTGACGTTCTTCATCGTAGCACAAGCGTGTCAATATCACAAGAGAGATCATAGAATGAGCCTACATGAGTACCTAGATCTATTCATCTGGCTGTACTGTAAACAGATTTCTGAATGCGAGGCAGTCAAGAATCATTGAGATCTGGATAGCAAAGAAAATTCATTCCTGATCGCTTCGTCAGCTCCCTCCGCCGAGGGACGGCCCCAAGGATTACTAGACCAACATTGCTCGATAAATGGCCAGTATTGCCCAGGGAGCTCAGGATAACGATATCGAGAGGGCGTTTGCGACTTGGCTATGCAGAGTATGATGGCGGCACCGTTCGTGAGGTTATAA